AAGATTGGTTCAGCTGAACAAGTGTACATGACCAAACATGATTTTGTTGATGGGGGGGGGTGTTTAAGTGTGTTTCCTGTTACTGAATAAAAGTAATGTCTTTTTGTAGAGCACTTTGTTATTAGAGTTTTTTATTTACTCATATAGGGTTACCACAATCATGAGCCATGTTTATAAATGATTTTTTAAATTTATAGAAATCTGGGCCCGTATTTATCAAGCTTCTCAGAAATACTCATAAGAACACTGCTAAGAACTGACTTAAGAGTAAAAAAAATTCTTGGCTCAAAGCTGTGCTTAGAAGTCAGTTATCAAGCATCATAGTCCTAATTTGAGTGAAGTGTAGGACTAAAGTGTCGGTCTTAGTGCTGATTTACGACACTTGGCTGTGCCGCAAACCGGATTTTGGATGACGATGTGGCCAAGGACCAAACACTGAATAGATTTTCTTATTAGGGATTTTTTCAGATAAATTCACATTAAATGGTGAAATTCCTCAGAGGAGTTTATATTCAACACACATTTAACAATAACGAATTTTCAAGATAATATATTATGATATAGGCCTACACATTAATAAATGAAATGAAAAAATGTTTATCTTTATATGAGCGCCATCAAATGCGCCTAGTGCTCCTGTATTGCCAGCTATTTGAATGAACTGTGTTTGCTTCTGTCGGATTACGGGGGGTGGTGTTGGGAAGTCGATGAAACGCGTGACAATGTGTGGAGCTGTAGCCTAAGTGCTATAATTGTTTCCATGGCTATTCGGCTTATTGATGGTTATGACAGCCACAATCATCAGCATTGCTGCGTTTGTCCTGTGGCAAATAAACTAAGCGTCATCACCACCTTCAATTTAACTGAAAACGCATTACTGCGTAAAGTCAGTGGTGAGATGACGTCCCTCACCAACTCGCTGACAAAAGTTTATGCCTGCGCGGTCCGACCCCGTCTTACTAACTGCGCCTCGTCAGAATTCTTCCTCTCCTCTCCACATGTCTCTGTCTCCACAGCGCCTTCACAAGCCCTACTGGCAGCTCCTAACCACTTGAGACCTCTCGAGCTGTCTTAAATAACTGGGAGAGAAAGAGAGATTCTTAACTTTGAGAAATTTGATAACTTGCTTTTATTCTGAAGTTTAAAAGTAGGAGTAAATTTCATGAATTCTCTGCACTTAAGACTAAAATGGCACTTTGAGAAGCTTGATAAATACCGGCTCTGATCTGGTTTATTAGTGCACCAAAACCATGACAACAAGTTGAGACCAGGAGGCAGAGTTGCAGTCCTACACACTTCTCTGCGCTTCCATTAGAGCAATTACCCCAGAGTGATTGTGTCTGCCCACTGACCACTTAAATTAATTAAATCAAGTAAACAGAAGAGGAACTGTGCATAAAAACCTAATGAAAATTACCACCACAGCTGCAGAAGTACAAAATATTAGGAGAATTAACTTTTAAATAATTTAATTTCAGATTCTAATATTGATTTATTCAGTCTTACTGAAACCTGGCAGGGTCATGAAAAATAGTATAGTGGTGCGCATAGCTGCCTTCCAAGCAGTTGATGTGGGTTTGATTCCCAGCCATGATGAAAGTTTCTTGTGCAATGTTTGTAGTACAATACCCCTTCCTGTATCGGTAGGAACAGAGCTTGATACATGTTGCAGTCTTGCATCAGTCTAGTCAGTTCATACAAGTAACACAGTTTCAAGCCCCTCTGCAGGCTTCCAGGAAGTTGGCCAATCAGAACAAAGTGGGCTTTCAGGGAAGGGCCTTAAAGAAACAGCACTGTGGTATTACAGTATGACATGAAGCAAAAAAACAAAGTGACAATATGACAAAACAATCCATTACTTACTTACAATTTAAAGTCCAGTTAGCAATACAATGGTTTTGCATGTATTTGAGTTCAAACCGCAGCGTGTCTATTATGCAGACCATTACTGTTCAAGCCAATAGGCAGGTGGATTTACACTCATTTGCTATATAGCATGGTTCAAATTACGGGGGTTGGACCCCCAACAGAGGCAACAACAACAGTTCAGGGGGGTCTTTTTTACTTGTAATTGTAAATATTACAATATATTTCCCATATTCAAGTCTTATATTTAAGAATCTTGATAAAGATACGTTAGTTGTACGTCTTTTCTGCCTGCATCACTCACAGCAGGTTAAGGACAGTAGTTTGCTATCTAGCTTCTTTAATACACTAAACTTTCTGACTTTCAGAGTTTCGTAATTAGCCTTTCTATAACTTAAAATTAGCCGTCTGATGTTAGCTAGCTGAGAGTTACCCTATCATTTCATTACCATTATAAAATTTCATATTTTATCTAATTGTTAGATAACACTGGGGCTTAGGCCTGAGCAGTGACATTGTAGATTAGTTATTTTAGAGATACTATTTGACATCAATATAGAGTTTATTTTTTTATTTTAAGTCTTTTTACAATAGGAATGTTATTTGTTTTCACTCTGGATTTCAGAAGTTTTAGCTGGTTAGGTAAATTATTTCAAATGTATTTAGTTTCAGTTTTATTTATATAGCGCCAATTCTTAACAAAAGTCATCTCATTGCACTTTTCATATAGAGCAGGTCTAGACTGTATTCTGTTAAATATTTGCAGGGATCCAGCAATTGCCATTTCCCCAATAATGCAGGACTGCCGCTTTATTGAACCCAGATTACACTGCATTTACAGTCAACATGAGCAAGAGGGAAGTTTGCCATAAAAAGCAGTAAATTGAAACACTGTTCTAACCCTAACCCTTTATGACCAGGGAAAAAAGTTGACCCCCCCAGTTGTCATTGTATAATTTGCAACCTGCTGTATAGTGCACATTTTTATAGCACTGCACAACAAATTGCACAATTTCCCCCCCTATTTTGATTTCTGATGGACATTTTCATGATTGGCTGCATTCCTCTCTTGGTCCAGCAGAAGGAGCCTCAGGCTCATCAGGTTTAAAACAATCAGCATGATTAGACTGCAAGGACATGGGCAGAGTCTTGAACAGCTGTCCATCTTCCATTCTTTTATGGTTCTTGATTTAAATCAGAAAGTTTTAATTTGTCATTATATTTTCTAATCTTACTACTACTTAAATATTTTCTCATCACTCCACAATCTCTTCATATGGCAAATCTTCCAGACTCTCAAAGACACTATATGGTGGCCACCAGTCCCACAGATCCAGTGTCAGCTGGCAGGGGGGTGAACCTGACTTGTGCCTGCAGAGGAAATCTCTTGACCACTTTGTCTGGTTCATGATCGGTGATGGCAGATGATCAGAGTTGAGAGACATGTTTATGGCTTTACAGTGACCCACAGTGATCAAGGTAGATTGTACTATTGTGGGTGTTTAAATTCAGATGTGGAATTCTCACCTGGACGTCAGTCAATGTTTGATGGTAACAGCAGAAATGATGGTTTGAGATGTTTTTCCATTAAGCCTAAGGTGGCCATGCTGTTGTGTTACAGGTGACCTGGGAATCATAATGCTCGTCAGTATATTGGTCATCTTTGAGCCGTGAGACAAACGTTTCTGTGAAATGATCATTTGCAGATACTGATTAATTTATCCAACAGCTAAAAAGGGCATGGTGGTGGCTGGGTGATTAAGACACATAACTGTATAACAAATATCCTTCAGAACTGTTGACAGTGGGTGTTTCCTAATACACTATATACAATATATAATACACACTGTAATACAATATAATATTAGATTGTGACTGGGCTCACCATCTCTCGAACTGCATGTTTTCTTATTGTGCATTGTTTCATTTATTTAACATTTTTTGTTACAAGGTGTTTTTCAGAATATTTTTAACAAAAGCTTTCAAAAAGAGATGGAGACATTCTGATTCTGACGTGTCCCCAGCGTCGCCCCTGTAAATGACACCTTTCTGTCAATATTTTTAAATGCCCCATCACATCTAGGCAGTGCGGAAGAGGATTAGGGCCACGTGTGAATTTTTTTTAAAATTCTGAGATTAAAGTCAGAATTCTGAGATTAAAGTCAGAATTCTGAGATTAAAGTCAGAATTCTGAGAAAAAAAGTCAGAATTCTCAGAAAAAAGTCAGAAGTATGGGTACCTGTAAAGGTCCCATGTGAGAGAATCACTTGCATGATGTAAATTAGCCCGGGAACCACACACTAACCGAAGATGTCGGATTTAAGTGAGTTTTTGCGTGTTCGAGGGGTCCCAGATGAAGCCATTTCATTACTGGAAGAACAAAAGGTGAGTAAAAATGAAATATGTGTTAGTTTGTTGCATGGCGTTTGTAAAAACAAAGGAAATTCAAGGGGATGAAGGATGTGTAATGCAGGGACGAGTTAGCATGTTTTGATAGCTAATATGGTAGCTAACAAGAATATTGGCTGTTTTTTGTGTTGTTGACATTTTGGTTATATTATCATGTTTTAAACTGCCTTCGAAGACCGAGTGAGAGCAAGCGGACAGGTGAATATAACGTGTTACTGAAGCTATTGGGTGTTTTAATGCGTGTTTTTCCTTAAGACTGTACAACTCCAGCAAGGAAGTTCTTAGCGCTCCGCCGTTTCACGGAGATATACGCTTGGCTGCATCTCTATTTATGACGGAAGCTTCGTCAAGCAGCACAGAGCAGATGAACCGGACAGGAAGTCTGACACAGAACGGCATAGAGAATCCGGTCAATTTTCAAAATAAAACACCCTGTGCGGACTCCTGGTCGTAAATCAACAATAAACACAGTTAAAACAGACAAAAAACAACAACTATTAAACTACTTTACCAGCCTTCTATGGTAGCAGAAACGCATATTAAACTTACATCCTGAGATTAAATTTTTGTTTTTTTATTACATTATTGTACTGACCCCTGCACACAAGGCTTTCCTGAAATATTTGATCAGTATTTTCCTACTAACACTTTTACTGATTTAAGGGGCATAACCTTAACATTATTTATACATTGTATTTTCTTTTTTTCTTCTGTGCAGATTGACAGCAACGTTGTTGCGCTGATGCAGCGCTGGCAAATTACATCCCCTCCTATGGAGACCGAATTGCCCTCTTCAATTTCTGCAAAAGTCTCCTCTCAAAATGACTGGATAGATTACATCAGTTCTGCTGCTCACAACAATGCCAGCAATGTCAGATTTGGATGATCATATCAAACTGTACTTCAGACTTTCTTTCAGTAATAAAGAAATACTTGCTATTTTAGCACATAACAATCAGACAGTAATAAGTGTCCGAACTTTAAAGAGAATTTGTAAAAGACTTGGTCTGTTCAGGAGGAAGAATCAGTCTGACTTGGAGCAAGTGCTGGCTTTTGTCCAACATGAAATCATGACCAATGGTCAGATGCAGGGTTATCGGTGGCTACATCTTCGTGCAGTTCAACGGGGATTTGTTGTGTCACAAGATACCATAAGACGCATCATCAAACTGGTTGATCCGCAAGGTGTGGAATTAAGACGAGCACGACGCTTGAGAAGACGTCAGTACAGCTGCAGAGGGCCAAATGCGCTGTGGCACATGGATGGCTATGACAAATTAAAGCCCTATGGCATTGCCATCAATGGCTGTATAGATGGTTTTAGTCGCTATGTGTTATGGATGGAGGCCTATACTATGAACAACGATCCTAAAGTAGTTGCAAGTTACTTCATCAAAACAGTTTCATACATAGGTGGATGTCCAGAGAGGATTCGTGCAGACAGAGGCACGGAAAATGGTTGTGTAGAAGAAATGCAGATGTTTTTGCGGAGAAACCACCCAGACAGTTTTGCAGGGGAGAGAAGTTTCCTTTATGGAAGAAGCACAGCAAACCAGCGCATTGAGGGATGGTGGGGTACCCTCCGCAAACAGAGTGCGCAGTTCTGGATGAACTTATTTCAATCTTTCCAGGATGATGGCCACTTCACAGGAGACTTTTTGGACAAAAGTCTTATACAGTTCTGTTTCCTTAATCTTGTTCAGGTAAAAATATTTTTCCTCACCAAAATAAATATCTTAATAGAAATGCCTTATGAAATGATTCAGTAATAAAAGTAGTAGTAATAATAATACAATAGTGTTGAACTATAATAATCATAATAATTATCATAATCTAAATAGGAAATGTCAAGGTGCACTACAAGCAGGGCAGCATGCATCTTATGGATTGTTTGAAATACTGGGGAGCCAGCTCCCCTGAGAGACCAGAGACTCCTCTTAAAGCAATACAAGTATACATTTGGGTGGTTTGCTAAAATAGCCATCATCTTAAATATTTCCTAAAGTAATTTGTATTTTTTCTACATACTATCATTACTGAAACTACAATGTTTGCATTTTCTTAAGAAAGTGTTTGTGAGAGCTGGAAGCTTTTAGCTCCTGCTGCTGTATCTCCCAGCTGCCACTGCTACCGCCACAATCTGTGCTGTGAATAAAAGCCGAAGAAATTTCTGAAGCAAAGCTAAAAATGGCTAAAGAAACTGGCTGATATTAATTGAAATGCATTTCAAAAATGTGGAAGCTGAAATGCAAAACTTGAGCTGACAGCTCAAGTGCATTAGCAGAAGAAGCTAACAGCTGAAACATGTTGAAATGACTTAACACTGAAAGAAGAACTTAATTGTATTAATATCAGACATGAAACTCACTAGCCCCCTATTAAGATACACTTACTGTCTGGGCATTTATTTTGAGAAACTAGGTCCAGCCTTAGTTTCCTGTTAACGTATAGTGAGCATTCAGGGTTTTTATTTAGAGCTTCATCCTGAGCTTCTTATAGTTACTGTGTGCATGCATCAGTACATAATCATTTTGTGTGCCCTTGCTGTTTGGTGGAGGTGCTATTGGCATATTGCTGTATATTTTTACATTGATTATTGTTGTGTGCTGTAGCTGATGGGGGCATACAATGACAATGCAGCAGCCTAGGTCTCAGTGTAGACAGGCAGTAGTTACATACTATAAGACCAGCTATATTACACGTTTGTAGTCTGTATTTACTGTATCTTTCTATGCAGGATGAACTTGACGAAGTCGTCAACACATGGAATTCACACAAAATCAGACAACGTGCAAGTGATGGCGCAGCCTCGGGTCGGCCGTTTGTGATGTACTCATCACTATTGCTACTACTCAAACCTATTGCCATGGAGGAGGTCACTTTGTGTATGGAAGAGTGTACTCCCAAAGGCCAGTTTCCATGCGATGAAACGGTTTTTGAACTGTGTTGTCTACTAATGGAGGAACATGGATGGGATGCTCCAGCAGATCCACTTGCTGCAGCTGATCTGTACATTTTTTTAAGAGAGGAAATACAGGAAAATATTTGATGAATGGATCATGTCTGTTAGGTCTGTACTCCCACACAGTACTGTTGTAAACCTGTGTGTGTGTGTGTGTGTGTGTGTGTGTGTGTGTCATTGGGTGACTGAGTGGCAAAGAGCTACGTAAAGCACTTTGGATAAATTATATGTAATTGTAATTGTGCAATTGTATGTATGTGCTATGTAGCCATTTACCATTTATGGGGCAATGGTTGTATAATCCAAAAGTTTTAATTTGTTAAACTGCAGGAACTCAAGATGACTGCAGCACTATCCTGACAGAACATATACAGAGAACATAACCAGTATAGAGCACAATAAAGACAAAATGTTTGTACCTAAATATCTCTTCATCAGACAAAGCCAACCCTTGTTTCGACTATCCACATTAAATAGGAAATGAAATGTGTGCAGGTACTACGACTGTACATGTAATATAGCAAAACTCAAAATACAGTATGAGATGGAAAACTGGCAGTATAGACTACAGTAAAGAGGAACTGGCATGTCTGAACTCTCTGTGATTCATATGATTTGGTTCCAACCAAGCTAATATTGAAAGGTTTAGGTGAAGTTTGAAAGAAAACTACAACTACATTTTTATAAACAGGCAATAAGTGAAATATTTTTTAAGAAATACACTGATGCAAAAATGGGGAAAAATTAATGTATTAAGTACTATTCTGTATGCAGTGAGGATATTTGAGGAATAAACTGTGTTCTAAAGCTTTTAAGCAGTGGAACAACTTAATTAAACATGAGAAGTATTTTGCTAAAAATGTATCAATAAAAATATAGGCTTTCATATTCTATATATTCCTTAGAAATGTCTGACCCTCAGCAGCACCATTTTCAGGTGTTTTTTCTGCATCTTTAAATGACTTGTTCAGAGCCTTATTCTCACAATGACTACACAATGCAGTGTGTATTACTGTCCACACACTTCTTTCATAATTATTTTTATTGCCAGCTGATTTGTGTCCAATATGAATACTACAACATATAAAATGCTTGGTAACATTCTCAAATAAATGTATTTTAAACCTCATTTATCCCATCACTTTTTTTTACCTTTACCCATACAGACAGGGAGCTTCATCATTGTTCAATTCATTCAATTGAATACTGAATACAAACGTGGTGAAAGAAGAAACATTTTATTAACAATAAAAGTTTACATTAAAAACATTTCCTTGGTAATACAAATAATTAAGATGGTTAAATCTCATAACCAGATAGGCTAGTCTGTGAAGAGCACATAACCAGAATTGCTCAATTTTGTAAACTAACATTTGAATGTTAAAAGTAACATTTAACATGGCTACAAACAGAGGCTTTACTTAAGAGATTTCAACTAAAGCGATGCTAATGAGCTAAAAGTGGTCATTACATGAACAATTCTACATAATGTAGTATATAAAGATCCATTTTATTTTGATGCATACAAAAGTTAAATGTTTATCCTTATATCCTGTACTCTCATATAGCCTCTTTAACAAAACATCTTCTACAACAGTAACCTAATGTAAAAGATCAAGACCACTTCAGGTAAAATTAGCTATTTAACCATGGTCTGTATCACAAAATACCCTCAAGAGTCATCCATAAACAGGGTGTAGATTTAAGGCAAGTGAATGCTGTGAAAGACCTGCACGCAACTATAAAAAAAAGCTATATGCCAGACTTGCTTTTAGTAGCAAGGAAATAATTTCTGGTACTGAATTAACACAGCAGCTGAGAACCTGAGAATTAGGAACAATGATTCCTGAACAATTACACCACTTTGCCATTGCTGGTGTCAAATATGATGATCCACAAGGTAGGTAATAATAACACAAAATTATCAGACTGCATTGTATAGTGCCTGTGCAATAATAATCAGTAAAAAATGTCCAAAATTGAAAGAGAACACATCAGATTTGCTGAAAACAACAATACCTGCAATTCTGGATTTGTATGACTTATTAACCCCACTTCAGATTTTTTCTTTAGCAACAAATACTTGCAAGGGTCTGAACTTCAAAGAGAATTTGTTGAAGATGTGGTCTGTTCAGAAGGAAGAACCAGTCCAACATGAGATCATGACCAATGACTGCAGACTGGCATTTTTGGTGTCACACATCTTTCACCTGGGTGGTACATCATTTTGCAACTTATAAAAATGAATAAAAGTGCAAAAACACAGTTTCATCATATTCTATAGCTGACTGCACACAACAGTGATGATGCATGCCATAGTCCATGCTGCTGTTGGAATGTAAGCCCTCAACCTCAATTACATGACCAAACCATGTTTCTGTCCAGTGAGGTTTGTGTTGTGCAGCTTGAGAACTTGAATCTGGCAGAGATGGATCTGGCATTGGTAACAGACAGTATACCAGTTTGTTATAGTTTGTGAATGCACCACTAAAACACATGAAACAAGGGATAATAGCACTATAGTTTTTGTAACCAAGGCTGAGCTTTTTTGAATTGCTTATAGTAGGTCCTAAATATATATTGCTCAACATTCCTTGCAATTCTGTCCATGCAATTCTACATAATTGCATCAAACGTGAAAAACTCTTAACAGTGGATTGTTGTGGTAATGGTTGTGTCAATCTAAACAATGTCCATTACCCAGCCATTGCTTTCAAGAACTGCATTAAATTCTGAACGGAAATCTGGGAAGTTCTCATAGCTGTCAGCTATGTGCAGAATCTTCCCACATGTGTGCCCAATTGGTCTTCTCGTGAACTCTGTCATTTCTTCAAATTCCACATAGATGCTGTCTGTAACTATGAGATCAGATCCAGTGCAGAACCGCAGAAATCTTTTTGAATCTCTTTACCTTCATCTAGCTCTCTGATGAATCTTTTCAGATGATTTCCGACTTCCTTCTGTTTTGGAGTCAAATTGATGTCAAATTTCAGCAGTTTGCAGACCTTTTTTTGTGGTTGGTTGCAGGTCAGAGAACAACTTGGTCAGTGCCTCTGGACTGAGGGAGAGATGAGGATGGGTGATTTCCCTCCAGCAGTCAATAACAAACATGGGTTTTTGGACCAGTTCTTTGTGTGATATTTCATCAATTATTGTAGGAAGAGTCTCCGCTGTGATTTTCCTTCTACAGCCATAGCCGTCAAGAACTTCCACAAGATCATCAGAGTCAACTGCAGAGAAATCAGTCATTGCTTCCATCAGAACCTCACGTTCTTGGCTGCTCACAAACTGCAGAAAATGTGCTTTAAGATCACTGTACACACTGTTGAAAAGCACCTGTTCAAGGAAGGGGAGTGCCAGTTTGTTTGGCAAATACTGACAATCTTGGTAACCTTTCAAAAGGATTCTGCCAATTGCCTTCCATGTTTCAGCAGGGAAATCATGGCGAATGAAGGGCACTTTAACTGTTGTACCAAGTGTGCATCGATCGTAGAATTCATGCCAGAAACAGCTGAGAACATCTCTCAGTACCCCAGATCCACTTCCTGCTTCTTCTTTGTTGTCTGGAAGTATGCGTCTCACATTCAGTGCTTTGTTCAAAATCTCTGCATCAGAGAAAGCTGTAATCATGTCATGTAAAGTGTTAGCATGATGTATGGTGATTGTTATCACTTCTTCTGGATGAGCTGGACTGGGGGGTGTAGAAAAACCCTCATAGATCAAAGTGTCATCTGTGTCTTCTTCAACACTGTAGAGGGGACCAAAGGTAATTGAGTCAACAGACATATCTAGAGAACGCTTGACTCCATCAAAATCACCCATGACATATTCCACTTGTAGTTCTGCTGTATTGATTTCATTTCCACTGTGTGCTGAGACAAGAATCACTTCAGATGTCTCGCTGGTATCATCAAGTTCTTTTTGCTTTGTTGCAATGTAAAAGCGTAACATTGTCAGCCTTGACGTCTCATACATAGTGCCAATGGACAGGCAGGTGTCATCAGTGAGGTGGTTCTGTTTGAAGTCCCACACCTCAAACTCGAAATCTGATTCTGATACTTTAGGAGATATTCCATCAGGAAAGAAAAGTTTCTTTCCTTCTTGAAGGATGTCTTTTAATCCAGCATTAATTGCCAATTTAACTTTTCTGGTGCCACCTCCCTGCTTTGCCCTCACCTGTCTGGCTACATTACCATCACTGTGAATCCATCCTATCTCTACATTTCGGGTTGTTTTAAGCTTCTTTGTCTGTGTTGATCTTGTGTCTGCATCTGATACGTTTTCCTTGGTGCCTTCCTTTCTGACTTTCATTTTCTCACGAAGTTTTTCCAAAAGTCCTTGTTTTCGCTTTGAGATGGGCTTTTTACTTTAGCAGAAATTGAAGAGGGCAATTCGATCACCATAGGAGGGGATGTAATTTGCCAGCGCTGCATCATCCATCAGCGCGACAACGTTGCTGTCAATCTGCACAGAAGAAAAAAAGGAAATACAATGTATAAATAATGTTAAGGTTATGCCCCTTAAATCAGTAAAAGTGTTAGTAGGAAAATACTGATCAAATATTTCAGGAAAGCCTTGTGTGCAGGGGTCAGTACAATAATGTAATAAAAAAACCAAAATTTAATCTCAGTTCAGGATGTAAGTTTAATATGCGTTTCTGCTACCATAGAAGGCTGGTAAAGTAGTTTAATAGTTGTTGTTTTTTGTCTGTTTTAACTGTGTTTATTGTTGATTTACGACCAGGAGTCCGCACAGGGTGTTTTATTTTGAAAATTGACCGGATTCTCTATGCCGTTCTGTGTCAGACTTCCTGTCCGGTTCATCTGCTCTGTGCTGCTTGACGAAGCTTCCGTCATAAATAGAGATGCAGCCAAGCGTATATCTCCGTGAAACGGCGGAGCGCTAAGAACTTCCTTGCTGGAGTTGTACAGTCTTAAGGAAAAACACACATTAAAACACCCAATAGCTTCAGTAACACGTTATATTCACCTGTCCGCTTGCTCTCACTCGGTATTCGAAGGCAGTTTAAAACATGATAATATAACCAAAATGTCAACAACACAAAAAACAGCCAATATTCTTGTTAGCTACCATATTAGCTATCAAAACATGCTAACTCGTCCCTGCATTACACATCCTTCATCCCCTTGAATTTCCTTTGTTTTTACAAACGCCATGCAACAAACTAACACATATTTCATTTTTACTCACCTTTTGTTCTTCCAGTAATGAAATGGCTTCATCTGGGACCCCTCGAACACGCAAAAACATCTTCGGTCAGTGTGTGGTTCCCGGGCTAATTTACATCATGCAAGTGATTCTCTCACATGGGACCTTTACAGGTACCCATACTTCTGACTTTAAACTCAGAATTCTGACTTTAATCTCAGAATTCTGACTTTAATCTCAGAATTAAAAAAAACAATTCACACGTGGCCCTAATCCTCTTCCGCAAGGCTGTGATCGGCCGGTTCACGAAAAATTACATTGACGAGCTACTTTCCGCACACACAGCTTCTCTTCTCCCTGTCTATTTTTATTCAACATTTCAACAACTCTTCATTTCTACTTTCACATACTGTAAAGACACTCATTGACAAATCTCTGTCCTATCTCTTAGTTTCTTCGGTCTTCATTATATGCAGAAGTTTTCATGTATTGTATATTATATTTAACGACACTTGTATCTGTATAAATAAGAATAACGAAGGTTACGATATGGTAACCCTAGTTCTATAAGCACAGGCTCCGCCCTCTACTGGACTCTATGGGTACTACCTCCTTCAATCACACGCACACACTTGCCCACTGAAATTTTATCATGCACGTAGCCGACCAAGGGGACGTCGCTACCGATGCGTGCGTGACGTATAAACAGCAGTGTCCCTACTGCCTCAGCATCTGACCGCCTCTTCAGCAAACGGCGTCAGAGCGGCAGGGCTCATTGGTAGAGGGCGGAGCCTGTGCTTATAGAACTAGGGTTACCATATCGTAACCTTCGTTCTCGTTCACTTACAAAGCCAGCTGGCCAGGCTCTTCTTGGAAAGGGTTTTACTGACTGCACTATCAC